GATCGGTTTACATTTTAATAATCAAATAAGTATGTGAACATAACCAATAACCTACCATAGCCAATAACAAATACATGTAAACTAGTTTATTTCTGTTGTTCATTCATATCTTATTTTACCTAGTTAACATTTATTTATGCATATTTTTGTATCTCTCCAACTTTAAACGATATTTTTGGTTTACTGTCCTATAGTATACATTGGAATGATTTCAAACCTGTTTTTATTCATCCTAATAATTATAAAGGAGTACCTTTGAAATATGTGTTTACATAATTTGTGGTCAAAACGTTTGAGACCCACTGAGATAAGTTAGACTAAAATTAACTATCTAAACACTCGGAGTCCTTTACCTCACTGAGCCTCTCAGTCTGACAGGAGAGCTCTCCTCCACCCTGGTTGTAGAAACATCTACTTCTTATATCCGTTAGCGCAGCTAGCACCAGATTCTAATAACAACAGCGCCAGTACCGGTGTGCCCTCTCTCTCGCTCCCACGCTCGCACTTTGGCTGTGAGCTGCGGGCGCCTGATGAGCCAACATCCCCCACTTTCATCACTTACAGCGCCCCTCGTACAGGGCAAATGAAAAGTGTAACCGAGGTGAAAAGGGTGTTACATTTACTTAATTATGAATGTTGTTACATCAAGGCCAAAAATTAGGATGAGTGCCAACGGTCAAAACTTTTTTTTCCCCTCCCAGAGCTACCAGTGCAGCGTCCCCCAGATCTGGCGCCCTAGGCCCTGCCAGTACATACAGTGGCAAGGTCTCAAGATTTAGCAAAAATACACCTTTATTGAACATACAGTAACACAAATACTACAAATCCACATAACAAACAATCAAAAATGAAAGAATGAATGACTTATTATTTAAAAAACATTTCTGTACCTGGCTGGGGCCCCCTAGCAGCGGCGCGCATATTTCAGCAGCGGCGCTGCGCTGCCACTATTTGTATATAGGGGAAACACTGGTATGCTATAAACTATTTTCTTTCAAGTGGCTTGAAAAAGTGATATCTCAACCGACTGACAGATTCCAAACACACAGCCTTTGTCAGCAATGTACCTGTCAACCTGCCTTGACTCGCTAAAAGAGCAGTGCTCAAAACAAAGTCCTGGCTCATTGTACTTTCCAACTCCTGCTTTTAAAGTTTAATTCTTCTTCAGTTACTGTTTAAAATTCAAACCATTCATGTCCTCTCTTGGGTAAACCCGTGTCCTTGTGAATTTGCTTTTAAGGGATAAAATGCCTTGAAAGTGATGAAAGTAATTTATTTGGTAATTTCATAGAGAAACTCAATAACAATTATTCTGAATATGTTTTGTTTTAGATCCGCAAGCAGCAGAAGGAGCATGCTGAACTGATAGAGGAGTACCGGGTAAAACAGCAGCAAAACAATATGACACCCATAATGCCTAGGATGCACGCGATGCCGGGCCCTGCTGGCATGGTCCCCAGCGGACCCCCAATGAATCCCATCATGCAGATGCCTGTTCATCCTGGCCAGCCCAATCCAGCTCAGAGTATGCCCAACCCACCACCCGGCTGGCATCCAGGTGCTCCATTGCCCATGGCTGGACCAGGAATGCCCCCTATAATGCCCCCTATAATGCCCCCTATAATGCCCCCCCAGGTACCTGTCGGAAATCCAGGCCAACCTGTTCAGATGCCAATGGGTAATATACCTCAACACCCACCACTGCCTGTGGATCCCCAGGCACCCCCAGTTCCACCAGGGGGTGTAAAACCCATGCAGTCAGGGAGTATGAAGTTCGATGACAACAATCCATTCAGTGAAGGCTTCCAGGAGCGGGAGAGGAGGGAGAGGCTTAGGGAGCAGCAGGAGAGACAGCGGGTGCAGCTCATGCAGGAAGTTGAACGTCAGAGGGCCCTGAAACACCGTATGGAAATGGAACAGCAAGGGATGATGGGGCCTGATGGCAACATGGCGCCTCTCTCTCAGATGCCGTTTTTTAACGCAGAGCTGCCACAGGACTTCATGCAGCCCCAAAGGCCTCCTATGCAGCAACAGCAACAACTCGCACCAATGTTCCCCCAGCAGCAGGGCATGCAGCCAGGCATGGGCTCACCACCTGGGACCTTTATGCAAGGGGAAAGGAGGGCCATGATGGGCAATGGGATGATGCCCCGTGACATGGGCCCTGGTTTTGGGCCTGATAATCTTTCTCTACAAGCACCTCATTTCCCCCAGGGTCAACCCAGACCTCGCCAGTTCAGTGGACCAGGAATGATGCTTCAGATGCCAGGTGAGGGTCCCCCATTTGGAGTCGACTCTTCTACACCTCTGCCGTCTAACTTCCCGGGCTCAGGTCAGTCTCTGATCCAACTCTACTCCAACATCATCCCGGATGAGAAGGGGAAAAAGAAGAGAAACCGCAAAAAAAAGAAGGATGATGACGCAGACTCAGTCAAGACCCCTTCAACTCCACACTCAGACCTCACAGCCCCTCTCACCCCGTGTGTGTCGGACACCTCCTCAACTCCAACCAGAAACACCCATCTATTCGGAGACCAGGACTTGTCAAGGTCCCCCTTACTGGGGTCTTCCACCCCCAGTCACTCAGAGCTGGAGAGGCAGCTCTCTGGAGGCCAATCCGGACACCTTGGTCTCTTATCAGACATGTCAAGAGCCCAGGCTCAGGAACATGACAGGATCCTTAGCAACATAAAGCTGGAGCAGACTGATGCCAGCGAGTGTCATGGGCCTCGGGACGGGAACATCAGCTCAGGAATGAGCTCTGTGAAGCAGGAGGGCAATAAAGGGAGTGGGTCTCCCTTCCCTGCTGGGCAAAGTCCAAACAAGGGGGAGGCTGGTAATGAACTACTAAAACACCTTCTGAAGAACAAGAGCACACCTCCATCTGGATTCTCCCAGCAGAGGTTGGATGAGAGCATCCGCTCAGAGGAGGAGGAGCTTGCTGACTGCAAAGCCCTGCTGAGGCAAAGCTCCATGGACAGCAATGGGGTCAGTTCTTCTGTTAGTCATACAATTAGATCAGTGAGGGGGTGATCATAGTGAGTCATAGACTGGCTAAGTGATTCAGGTGGGAGGTGGTTAAATTAGTCACTGCTGATGATTTTTGAATGAGTCATAGTTCTGTTTTGAAAACATCTAACTATTAGACGTAATGCTGCTCAAGTTATTTGAAGTTAATTCATGCCTTTTTGATATGCAAGTATTTCAATCTTTCTCTCATCTGCAGGCGTACTCTGACGGCACTCAAGACTTTTCTGGACCTGTGATCCCTGAACAGGAGAAGAAGAAAGGAAGGAACAAAAGGGCTCCGAAGGGAGGAGAGAAACCTGCCTCGCGCTACAAGAAGAGGAAAAAGGAAGGGGATGAGAGGCAACTAATGCACTCTGGGCCTGACACTGTAATGACCCAAATCAAACAGGTACGATTGATTTGACCACCTTGTAACCTGCTCTTTATAGAAATGGTTGAAGCTCCACTGCTGCACATCTTTGGGAACAACGGATGGTAGAAAGCAATAGCTGGAAATCTGAATGCTTTAATCAGAATTGTAAAGTATTAATTGCTGCCAGAATAGAAAACGGTCCTCACCAAGTGCACAGACACTAATTTCACATATTATAAGCATATTACTATAATTAGGTACTTGTTGGATGACAGCTGCACACAAGCTGTTATTATTGAGGAGAGTGGAAGGAGATTTGCTATTATACTTCAAGTCCCTCATTGATTGACGCTTATTTATTTAAATGTTATGAAACTGTCTCGCTCATTTAAACTGTAGTACACACATCTTAGCAAAATTAAATGTGCAATCATGTTGTTTGCTAATTTCTCGCAAGTTTAGCTAAACTGGAAAATTGTAACTTACTGTGGCTTTGAGCTGGAAAATATTCTTTACTTTATTGTACACTTAACTGTTTGATTCTGCTCTTTTTTACCAGCCTTGTTAATTGCAGCAAGGTTTACATTACATTACATTTAGCTGACGCTTTTATCCAAAGCGACTGACAATAAGTGCATTCAACCAGGAAGATACAACCTTGAAGAAAACAGAATCATATAAGTACATCAGGTTTCATAGAGCCAAACATTTCAAGTGCTACTCAACTGGCTTTAGATAAGCCAGCCCTTTATTAGTATATAAGTGCTTTGTTAGTAATTCAATCGCTCGAAGTGGAGTCTAAAGAGATGAGTTTTCAGTCTGCGCCGGAAGATGTGTAAGCTACCTGCTGTCCTGATTTCAATGGGGCTATAACTGGACTAGAGATTTGACTTGAGAATTGTTTTTATTAAATCCAAACTCAAGGCCACATTTTTAGAGATGGCCGTTAGGGAGGACTATATATATATGTTTGTATATATATGTATATATTTATTATATTATATATAGGGCAGGGACAATGCACAGTAATGAACACTTAAAAAATTAAAATGTATCAAGCGTAACAATGCCAGATTTAGCTTTGAGCTTATTTCCATCTGCAGTCCCTCACATAAAACATTTAAGAAGTTTACATTTTACAAACATAGCAAAAACTAAATATGCGAAAGAGCAAGAGCAGCATACACAAGTATTTATGACATGGTAATACAATCTAGCAGCTACGACATATAAAGTGCACGAGAAGATACAAGAGATACCTAAAGTGCAAGAGGAGTTACCCTTGTATTAAAGTGCATTTAGCGGTGATATCTAATATTACAGGACATGAAATACCTATGGATGGTAAGAAATGAGCACCAAATTAAAAAAACACCACCTTTTGAGCTTTAAAAATTACTATTGATAGTCTCGCAAACCCACTCACTGACTTATGACAGTTATTTCTGTACCATAAATAGGCAAATGAACATGGTATAATAACCGAAAATGTTATACCGAACACAGTTAATGCTCGCTTCATTTACTTAATAGCCTTGTATGAGAAATCCTTATATCCACGATGAACGAAGCTGTTTATGATTAGATCATCTTAACTATCAAATAATGTTTGCTATGTTAGGTCTTCTTATTTTTGTTTGTTTTTAGTGCTTATATTTATAGACTGTAATATTCTGTTAGGGGTTTGGGGCTCTAGCATCTATTGCACTTTATTCTCCTCCGATCCCTTCCCCTGATCCTGTGGTTCTCTCCCCACAGCAGCTCTCCCTGCTGCCCCTCATGGAGCCTCTGATTGGGGTCAACTTCGCCCATTTCGCTCCCTATGGCAGCAGTCAGCTGAACGGAGAGAGCCTCCTGGCTGGTACATTTGGCAGCGCCTCACTCGATGGAGTCTCTGACTACTACTCCCAACTGGCCTACAAGGTGAGATCTGCTTACCTCACCTACTGGGTAAACAGAGTGATGTCAAGTGTGTCTGCATCATGCCGTGCTGACACTGTATTGGTTCCTACAGCAGAGTAACCTGAGCAATCCACCAACACCACCAGCGTCTCTTCCTCCAACCCCACCACCTGTGAACCGACAGAAAATGATCAATGGATTTGCCACGACTGAAGAGCTGGCCAGCAAAGCTGCTGCCATGGGTAAGCTTTCAGAAGGATGTATCTCGCAAAAAACGTTTACGTATCATTTCATTCATTTAACCGTTTATTTGAACGGGGACAATGCACATTGATGAACACTTTAAACAAATAATGCTTCAAATGTAAATATGTCGGATTTTAAGTTTGAGCTCATTTCCATCCGTAGTCCCGTCACATACAACATTTA